AGCACAAGTCAGAGTGTAGGAATAGATTCAATTAAATAGAGTGATATATCAATGCGTGATAGAGCTAAGATCGACGACGAATTTGAATGCTTAGCTGTCCAGTTGACCGCAGGATTTTTATAAGCACTTCTTGTAGTTAGTATTTTTAGAATTATAAACTTTCCAAAACTACGGATCTCTTTCGTCTAGTGGAATTGGAAGCTACTACTCTCTTGTTGTCTTGAGGATTTTTTCAAATACAATTATTTTTATGTCACCATGAGTTTGCAAAATTAAATATTTTACCACCGTTATAATAAAGATTAGGTACAGTTATCTCTAGAGGTATATAACTACTTACTTAAATTACTTCATTGTGAAGCAACGTTCTTGATTTTTTCTAGCCAACAGACTGACTCTGCACGCCATTTATAGTCTTAGAGACTTACCTTAACGTAATTTTTAAGATTCTTAATAACAAAAAAGGAATATATGTAAAATACATTGCAGGTCTGTTTTTCTATGTTCTTTTTTTCTGGAATTAGAGTAGGTATAAATAAACTGAATAATATATATTGAGAAGTTAAAAGAGCTTATAATTCAAAGTAAAATAACAATATTTTAATAAGATAAACATTTAATTTGAAAATATCGCGGCATGTTACAATATCACAGCATTCTTTCGAAGATGGGCTGAGTTTTAAACGTTTTAGAAATTGATGGTAGTGATCGAAGTTTGAAATATTCTGTGTTTTTCTGTGCTTCATTATTTTTCTTATAAATTTGAAGACGACTCCTAGCCTACAGACATCCGGGTCGCCTCTCATACATATTCAATACAGTCAGCTGTTTGATGTCACTACTGACTGTTGGACTATTACAAAGGTTTACTAAATAGGATAAACTAAAAAAAAAATATTGTGAATTACCAAAAATGTGCTCGATTTAACAAAAAACTCATAACTTCATCCCCAGTCTCTGCTGGGGCTCAGGCCTTCTTTATGGGTGGAGACGAATTGAATCGTATAGGAAGAATGGGATATTACCCACCACAGGGACCCAGTGCAGAATGGAGGGTGTTAACGACTGCTAGATACAGCCGAGACCAACATCTTATGTGCCTTCCGAAGTTTCGAAGCAGAGGAGAGCTCGAGATAATTTTTAATTACCCATCCTACAGATCAGCCCTTGAAAATTGCTTAAATTCTACATTGCAGACCAAACTAACCAATGGGCCGCCAAGTTCCTCAAGAGCAAGTATTCATGGTGAATAAAAATGATATTACTACCAATGATATTATATGTATTATTATGCAGTTTATTGGTTATATGTTTATGTTCATAATATTTCTGAGAATATTATTTAACCAAATAAAAATATAATAAAAAAAAAATAGAGGAAATATACATATTTTTACGCGCTATGTTAGAGAAAATTTTGATTATAAGTTCTTTAAATGTTTGGAATTTATTTATTTACGTTTTAGTGAGCACAAATAAAAATTTTGTTTTTAATAATCTTTTATATTTTTAATTTTGTCTCGATATGTTTTTGTTCTCATAAAGACGGATATAAACAGCCGAAACACGATGAAGTTGCGTTATTTCATTGGTAAGTTCCTATGACCATTTTCCGACTTCATCATAATATATCAGCTTACCGACGTCATAATATAGTTTTGTCATCAGATGTCTATTGAAAATTTCAAATCTGTCGGATATTAAGAAATAGTTGCGAAAGAGGGTCAATTTGAGCTCTAAGATTGGCGCACTAACTAACAAGGCAAGTTAGAATAAAAGCTTGTAATAATAATAATAATTACTACAAAACGTAGACAAAATTGTGAATGTTTGTTAATCAAACAGTTTTATGTAGTGAGAGTAGTATGTAATTATTTGCCAATTACTAGGTATTTTCGAAATTGATGGGAATCTATTGATAAAATATATAAACGGGAATTACTGTGCAAGAAAGGTTTTTTGTCACTATTTGATTGTAACAGTGACATGAGTTGACTTTGGTGAGCTTTTCGAAAAGTGATATTATATAAACTACATACTCGTATGAATTATCATGACACCTATTTCTTCGAGAACGGAATTTCGTCTATTTTCGAAATGGTAAGTAATACGACTCCAAAGAAAGAGACGCATTTTTTGTCAATTTATGATGCAACGGAGTTAGGACTAAAATTGTCTGGGATACACAAACAGTCTTCATGGATTTGATTTTAACAACATTATAATAATGAAAATTTCCGTATTTTCGTACAAAGACAAATATAATAAATAGGCCCAAAACTTATAGAAATTATAACTAACCATGACCTCTCTACTCAAACTTCAGCTGACGTCCAACCGCCATTTTGACTTTTTTAATATTTTATTTCTTGCACATCAAAAGATAAAGAATGCAAGGTCATTCCATTCACTACGCCTTGTTAACAATATAATCTAATGTGTAGATTGAGTTCATTATCTGTATATAGTTTAAAATATGCACTTTAAGAAACGGGACATAAATTTTTGGTATGTAAAATTTTACGAGCTACATTTTAACTATTTTATACACTTGGATTTGTGTAAAAAATAGTTAATGCAAAAGTTTACAATAATCGTGATAGTTTGCGAGTAATTAATTAAAAACGGTGACTAAAGTAAACCATTAACCGAAGAAAACGTCATATTGGGACGTGTTGACTTACTTTGATCGGATAATGGTTTATACCAGGTTTTAAATTTGGTTAGTTCCCTCTTTAGGTTTTATTATCAGATTATATAATAATAATAATATACTTTATTGCACACAACAGGACAAAACAAGTTACAGAGAACAAAAAATAAAAAAAGTATACAAAAGGCGGATTATATATCTTTATGATTATAATTATTTGACATTAATTCAGTGAGAAAATTGCAAGAATGCGTGTAATGTCTGCATAAGTAAGCATCACTATAAAAATATTTTTCTTATCCATAAAACTGTGTTGAATTTTATGTTGCTCCATCCGCACATACGTAAAAATGGGATCCAAAGTTTTTGTTTACTAGATGTTTAAAAAACAACATTTCATATTTCATAATACTTATTTTGTTTCATTATATAAGAAAAGGTTATAATTATACACACAAAGATTATGTAGGTAGACATCTTCAGATTTCCTCCTTTCGAAGTTCCCTCCTTTCGACGAATCATTTGAATTAATGAATAATATTTATAGCACTTGGGTAATATTTCATAACTGTTTTATATGATTTGCGATAACCGGAAATCTAATTTATCTATCTTTTGCCGCACCATACCATATATACCTTAAGTTGTTGAAATAAACTTTTAAAATCAGTAAAATATGCATTACATTACGATCTAAAAGAAAAGCAAATCATGTTGTATTTTAATAATGACAAACGAATTATGAAGAATGATAATAATGGATCTGACAGTAGTGTTACCAGCTTAATCGTTTTTCGATCAATATATATGTTAAAATATATGTTAAAGTATTAAAAAATATATTGGATATCGTTATAAGATCTCTAAAATGTCGTATCCTAAGGCTAGAGTCATGTCATGCATGACTAAAGAGTAACAATGTCGCACCCCCGAAATGGCATCATTATGACAACAAAAAAACAACAAAGGTTTGAAGATATTTTTGGCACTAAAACTTGAACACTAAAACGTTAAATTATCAATTCATAGTATTCAAAAAGTTTTATGCTTAGAACACACTATTAAAACGAGTTGCCTTCCAAAAAAAGCAAGCGCCTAAACCGTAAATTATTAATTTTCAGTTGATTTGGAATACTGCAAATAAATTGCAAATAAACTGGAATAAAACATGGGAAAACAACATCTTATATTTATCTAATGGTATTATTATTGATTGTAGAAGTGACTTTTACCAGGGCCAGTTTTAGGATAGGTGACCAAAAATTTACTATCTCAAGATGCTCCGTGTTTCGGAAAATACGTTAAGCTTTGGTCTCGGCTGGATCGTCGTTAACATTTATAATTCATCTCCAAAGGACAAAATGTTCGAAAAAATTTGTTTGTTCACCACTTTATTTGCTAGTTTTGCCATTTATACCAAGCCTTGAGTAATATCTAACAAGCAATCGGATCATATAATTGAAAATTACAATCAATTTCTTTATCGTTTTTTTTCCAATCTTACAACACGCCGAAAGATGTTAAATTACTCCGTCATCATATTTGTAATTGTGTTAATTTTTATATCACTTTCTATTTTCATGTAAGTCCACTAGTCTTTATGAAAATAAAATCTTTAAATTGAATAAGACGCACAACACACCTTTAATACAATATTGCATCGCACTGTTAAAGTGTAGTCCCGACCTTACGGCAATGTGAATACCTAATATCATCGAAAAAAACGAACACCCGTCGGTATTCGCGCCCATCCGGTGCCCACGCATCTTTAATTTGAATTTAATATGTTAGATTTTTATTTTATGATATTAATGCTAGTGTTTGCCCTCTACTTTATATGTCTGGAAGTTGAAATTATTTAGGTAGATTTTAGGGTGTTAACTATGTGTTGAGTTAGAAAAATAGGAATAATAATTTGTATGGAGCAGTGATTCCCTAAGTGGTCCAGGTGGACCCCCAGGGGTCCACGAGGGATTCAACGGGGGTCTACGTTAGCGTGAAATAAAAACAGAGGTTCACAAGTTGTAAGTGGGGTTCACGAAAATTTGTTACTAATCTAATATTAAAATTATCTAGTTTCGATAGTAAAGAACAAAAATATTGGCTTGGCTTTACCTACATATCGATGTGCAGGTAGGCGATAATATTGGAAGAAGGTCAGCGTGTGTTCTAAGAAGAAATGACGGAAGTACAGTATTGATTATTTGAAATTTGGTTTCTTCCATCAAAGGCAGATAAACGATTGCCGACGTGCTTTTTATGCAACAAAGTTTTGAGCAATGACTTTATGAAACCATCAAACCTCGAAGACCAATTAAGAAGGTGGCAGAACAAAAATATTGGCTTTGCTTTACCTACATATCGATGTGCAGGTAGGCGATAATATTGGAAGAAGGTCAGCGTGAGTTCTAAGAAGAAATGTCGGCAGTACAGTATTGATTATTTGAAATTTGGTTTCTTCCATCAAAGGCAGATAAACGATTACCGACGTGCTTTTTATGCAACAAAATTTTGAGCAATGACTCTATGAAACCATCGAACCTCGAAGACCATTTAAGAAGGTGACATCCTGATAAAATAGGTGAAGATTTAAAATATTTTCAAACATTGAAGGAAAAATATGAAAAGAGACCCACCGTGCATAGTATGTTCGCTTCAACGTCTAAAAGTAACAATAATGGCTTGCGGGCATCTTACAATATCTAACAGCATACCATCGGAATACAGTTAATTTTACCCGCTGTTGAAGAGGTTTTAAAAACTGTTTTGCACATGCCTTCATATGACGTACTTTAAAGAATTCATTTAAGTAACAACACTGTACAAAGACGTATTGATGAAATGAGCTCTGATATTTAAAGTTTCTTCTGTAATTATCTACAAACAACTCATTTTTCTATCCAACTGGACGAGTCAACTTTACTTGGTAATGAAGCATTATTATTGGCATATGTTCGATTTATTATGGACGAAGAAATCCATGAAGAGCTGCTATTCGCGAAATTACTTAGAGACGGACACTAAAGGCGAATTAATATTTAAGCTAGTGGGTGATTTTTTTCAGGAAAAATCGATTTCATTTACAAACATCATTTCGGTGGCAACAGATGGAGCTCCTGCCATGGTCGGACGTTAACGTGGGTTTATAAGCCATCTTAAAAGAATAATACCAGGAGTAACCGCAATATACTGTGTCATCCACCGACAACACCAGTAGCGAAAATTTTGTGTAATAGATTGCATCAATCATTGCAACTTGTGATTAAAGCTGTTAATAAAATAAAAAGCAGTGCGTTGAATACTCGTTTATTTGCCCAATTGTGCGACGAAACAGATGAAGACTTCCAACGATTGCTTTTGGAACGCTGATTGTCGAAAGGTGCGTGTTTAACAAGGTTTACTTACTTTTTGAATCAGTTTTAGAGTTTCTGGAAAGTAAAGATCCAGATTAAGTTACAAGGGGATAGCCTAAGTTTGATAAAAACAAAGTGTGTAATTTCGGCTTTTCTTGGAAAATTTAAATTTATGAAGCAAAATATTAGTCGGCGTGAATTCTCACAGTTTCCAAACTTGTCACATACAGCATGTCTTGATGAAGATATTCAGACATACATTCAACATTTAAATGCGCTGCATGATGACAAAAACATATTTGAAGATATTTTGATGATGGAAATACCACCATGGATTATAAATCCATTTGATGAAACGGAAGTGGTGGATGTGGTATTACAAGAGGAACTACTTGAGCTCAGCTCCAATGAAGAGCTGAAGGTGCAATTTAAAAACGGCTATCAAAGATTTTGGCTGCAGTCCGAAATACCCGAAAAATATCCAGGGCTGTGGGAATTTGTGAGAAAACTTTTGATAGCGTTTCCCTCGTCATACCATGTCGAAAAAAGTTTTAGTGTCGTTACAAACCTATTAACAAAAAAGGAAGAAGATAAAACATTACAGAACGGGGATATTTGCTGTTAATCCTTACTCAAAACTGAAGCCAAATATTGATAATTTGCTGTCTATCCATCAAGTACATCCCTCCCATTAAAATTATGGGTATTTTTTATTATTGATTTGCATTGTTGAAGTTACGTAACGTTATTAGTGTTTCATTTTAATTCTATTAAGTCTGTTATCATTATTATTTGAATGAATAAATCGCAAGAAAATATACAATTTTTTTATTTATTTTTATCACACCGAATTAAGGGTTGGAACTCACCCGCGACGCCAATTTCCATCATTGGACGAATTTTGGGAAGATTGTAAAAATGTAGCAGTAAAGGGTCCACCAAAACCAGTATTTTTTTTAATGGTCTACGAGAAAAATATATGGAAACCTCTGGTATGGAGAATAGGAGAGTGATAATTTTTGACCCAACTGGTGGGTATTTGCAGGCCACTGAAAGCTACGAAAAGAGAACCAATAAAACTATGAGGGCCATACTTTATTCCTTCGACGATGAAATTTGGTATTTTTTCGAAATGGTAATAAGTCTCTAGAAACGTTACATTTATGAACCTGACACTGCCTCTAATGCACAGATAATCTTTTCTAAAATAATATTAACAAAATTGTAAGAACGCTTCGAAATTTTTGGAATGTTCGTTAGTGGACAAACAAAGAAGGCCTTTTAAGGCTTGTTTATTGAGTGAAATAGAACGCCGAAAACTACTAATTTCAAAGATTCTTCCTTTTCCGTTTTTATCAAAGACTTTAATTTAAATAAAAATCAATTATATTAAAAATAATTTAATTAAATCTATTCACCGTTGCTGTTTATTTCTTCCTCTTGACCAATTTGTCAATCCCATTTCTGACAAAAGACAAAAATAGAAGAAGTCATCAATTTGTTTTAAAGATAGTCTTTATTGACGAAAATACGCCCTTCACATGGTTTTATAGAGAACGTAAAAAATGCTAAGCTATACCGTAGGTGCTAAGTCCGTAGAATATGGCGGATGCTGAAGGACCTCCCAGTGAGAATGTATTGGACTTGGGATTATCTAGTTTAGCCTTATCAATGGGGCCTTTCAGTTAAATAGACTCTTTACTGTGTACAAATGGGCTTTATAGCTACTCATCCAATCCACCATGCAAGAAACAAATACATAGTTAGTCAAACAAGAAACTATTGTAAAATATAAGGAAATTTAAAAACACTACGAACTTATTCATTAATCTTAAAAAATTGAAAAATTGAGAATTTTAAGGGTAACTTTGTGACTTTTTCTTTCAAGATAGTATAATGAATTCTCGTTTTGCAAGTAACAGAACAATTAGACATAATATGATTTATTTAAAAAAAATAAAAATTAAAGCTTGTTTGGCTAATATCTCTTTGTTGTGATACGTGTCCCCTTAAGTGTCCCAAATGACCCACAGATTGAGGTAATAAAACAGAAAATAAAATGTTGTCACTACCTACCCACCTACAAACATATTATTGGTCTATGCCTATACTGACCTAGGCAAACCAGTGACCTTTAACATAGTCTAGACTTATGATGAAGGACTTTAGTGTCTTTCTAATTTATATGTTTATCTGTATAGCGACATCGGGTTTGTTATTAGCTTTTTTTTTATGGGATAGGGGGCAGACGAGCAGACGGATCACCTGATGGTAAGTGATTACCGTCGCCCATGGACATCTGCAATACCAGAGGGGCTACAAGCGCGCTGCCGGCCTTTGAGGGACGAATATGATCATAGGGAGGGAAGGGAATAAGGAGGGGTTGGGCCTCCGGTACCCTCATTCACACGACCAAACACAACGCAAGCGTTGCTTCACGTCGGTTTTCTGTGAGGCCGTGGTATCACTTCGGTCGAGCCGGCCCATTCATGCCGAAGCGAATGTCGAATTGTTATATATTTGAAGACAGACGATTTTATACTGTAGCACAGATAATATAATAAGGTACATTTTTAATCTCTGATCCTCGTTAACTATCCATAAGCAAGGCCTGGGAGCTAATTCTACTAAATAAATTATGTTTAAATCGAATCGAAAACGGATCGAAACCGAAGGAAACTACAGTTTTTAATGGTTTTTCTATTGTACTAAGTGACATACGATACAATTCCAGTTCTTTTTTAGCTGGAATTGTATTAGTAGAATTGGCCCCCTGATCTCTGCGCCATCGAGCTCCTCATTTTAATATTAACTGGTACTCCAAGTTTACTGATACTGGAACAATTAATAATACCCAAATATAACTAAATATACTTTGATGTGTACTTTGTTTATTATTAATGAATTACATATTTTACTTAAACTTAAACATTTTCCAAAATATGACCAATATTTCCTTGAACGTACCTTCAGCATATATTTTGCTGTACCCTAGGGCTCCGCGTAGCACACTTTGTGAAAGCTGTATTATAAAGGCTATATTGGACTATCCATTAATATTTGAGAAGTAATCTAGAAGTACCAGCATGTCTGCGATTATTGCTATGCTCCCTACAAATTCAAGCCACTAAGTGACGTCACACGGTGCTACGGTACTGAAAATGCGTAGGTGTCTGGACAATCTTTATAATATCGTGCGTTTATATTTATAGCTGTTTTAATGAAAGTTGTTACGTTTTATGTAACTTATTTAATGCCATATTTATTTTAGCAAATTATTGTAGGTAAATATTTTCCCTACTTTTTTCAAGTTTTAAAAGTGTAATATTTTCCAAATAAGTGTTATAAAAATTATTTTGACAAATATTAAGTAAGTAAGTTAAAATGATTCATATTCTCCGAAAACATAACAGAATCCTCTATTTTCTCTTGTGGGGCACAGTTTAAATTGCCAATTGCATAGAACGACGTCTATGGCAGAGTGGCTCGCACACCGATTTCAAGTAGTCGCAATCTCTGAGGTCCCATGATCGATTCCCGCTCGGATTAATGTAGAAAATTAACTTTCCTTCGGGTGTGTTCGTTATGTTACCTTCGTTGTTTGAAATTGATTAAATTGAAATCCATAATCCAAGCATTAAGTAATCAAAGGGATCTGAAAAAAGTATGTGCTGTCATGTAATATTTACAATACCCTACCTAGATGACAAAAATATTCAGTAATTTTTGGTACGTTATTTAATTCGACACTTTTATATTAATTGATATTTGGTCTTGTTATGTATCTCGACAATCGTGCCAATAATTTGTGACCATAAACCATCGGCCTTTGATGAGCTAGCCATAGATTATAATAATCGCAATCAATTAAATACAGCCTTGCATTCATCGACTGACTGACGAGGTGACACAGAATCTGAAATATCCAGATATGTCAACTCATATAACGGTTAATAGTTTGCTTTGATGTGCAATGTGTAATAAGCTATGCAGTTTAATTAATATGCTCATTGAAGTTTATATAGATGATATAATGTGAATTCAAAGTAAAATAAATTAATCATTAAGTGAGAATTAAGCGTTTGAAAATTCGATTGAAAAAGGATAGAGATAATTATGACGACCTAAGCATGGCATGGAAGCTAATATTAGGTAGACACAGTTGTACTTCAGGCTTACACGATATACCAAATTGATTTTGAACTTTAATCAAAATTTATTAAGGTTTAAAATCAAGTAGAGAAATTTAACATTTTTATATAAGAAGCAAATAGTAAATGATTTCATTGTGCATTAAAACATATCCTAATATTGTTTATAGTATATTCAATCAGCAGAATATCAGATCAATATGTCATATTTCTATTTATTTATTTTTTCTTTATTGCCTAACAGAGGACAAATGGCGGACTTAATGCCATAGAGGCATTCTGTCCCTATATATCTATAGCTGATTTTTAACTCTGTCCTTAATGCTTTTTAAGGTATAGTGCTTTGGGGTAATACCGGCAGCGCGGAAATTCTAAAAATGACAAATTACCATTATATCAGGCATTGTATTTTTACCAACTCTTGGTTGATAAAGTTCACAAATAATAAAACTGTTCATAATAATAATAATATATTTATTTCTGCATAAATATGGAAAGTACAAGATGTTACAATTTATTTTCTAGTTAACAGACATATTTACCAGAAACTGGCATGCAGAAGAAATTATAACAATTAGGGAATTACAATAATAATCATAAAATTAAACAAATGTCAATTAAATTTCATCAATATAACGCAATAATAGTAGTTTAATAATTCATAATTTTGAGATAATATGTCAACATTTATATTCAAAATATTCCTTTAAGCTATAAAAACATTTCGCCGTAAGCCATTCTTTTAACTCAGACTTGAATATACTAAGCCTGTCGTTTTTAGATTTTATTGGCAGCTTATTAAAAATTTTGATTGCCATAGGATAAGTACTTTTTTGCCACATTTCCATTTTTATCAAAGGTAGCTGCAATTTGTTTGGATATCTAGTGGTAAACTTACGAGGAATATCATCATAACGTTCAAAAAAGTGCGGATTATTCCTAACGAAAACACATATTTCATAAATGTATAAGCAAGGGACCGTTAGTATTTTTAAGATTTTAAAAAGTGGTCTACAAGATACTATTTTTTTTACGTCACATATGGCTCGAATGCATGATTTTTGTGCAATTAATGCTTTATTTATATTACAAGAATTTCCCCATATTATAATACCGTATCTCAATATTGAGTCTACGTGTCCATAGTAAGCCATAAGAGCAGTTTCTTTGTTTGAAATCTTAGCAAGCTTCCACAAGGTATATGTGAAAGGATTTATTTTTTTACATATTTTGTCTATATGGTCTTTCCAAGTCAAATGTTTATCTATAATTAAACCTAAAAATTTTACACTATTTTTTTCCTCCACCATTTGGTTGTCATAGAAAAAGAAGCTTTAAATTAGATGGAACAAAACATATTACTCGTTAATGACACATTCGGAATTTCCCCGCATTGATTACTCCAAAACACACAAATAAAATCTAGTGAATAAATTTGTATTTTATTATTAGTACTTCCATATGTCAAAAATAAAGAGTCATATTTTTAACTTCAAAACTGACTTAACTAAAACACTTAACAATTATAAGTATAGCTTACATTTGGTGAAGAAATATTCATACTTATAATAAAAAAGATAGGACACTAACTCATAATATCAGGATATATGGTTTCGGGATTGTTACACTGTAGATTATTACTTATGAAGGTTTTATGT